TTCACAATCTTGAATCTTTACCCAAGGCTGAATAAAGATGTGATTCCATGTTTAAACAATCATAACCACTTTCACACCAAGGCTTTGGACCTTATTCGATCAAATGTAAACTCAACATAAAACAAACTGTGCGCTTGCAACCTCTTTGGCAAAGTGATGACCACATATGATCATACTTTGATAAATGGGTCCACAAATGAATCAATCTTGAACACAACCACTCGAGCCATGATTAACCATAGTCCTTCTTATGGAATCTCTTGAACAATTATCTTGAATCCGTCCACGACCATCTTGAACTGGAACAACCCCAATCTCAAACATACCTCATTTAACCCGTGCACACCCCGGTCCCAATCATGAAACTACATCTTACCTGCCCATATTGAGAACATCACTGCACACACAACTTTAAAACGAATCCTCAAATGCACCCTAATTTAAATATAATTCGACCTTGCAATCTTATGAATTTAGTCAGCCAGCCAAGCAACATATTTTTAGATTTTGGAATAATGCTCGTGGACGGACGCACAAATGAAGTCTACACTGGTAGGACAAATTTAGGGTATGACAGATGCCCCTATCTAATTGGCTTTGACCGAGTAAGATGAATCGCCGCAGTGTTCATTTTTCAAGGTAGAAGTCAATTAGGTACAAAGAAGACCCTGAATTTGTCCAAAAGGAAAGTAAACGCTCGGGAATTGAAACATGATGGATATCTTGCAAAGGTCGCTAACATTAAAAGGATGTTGACAGAGAAAACTTGACACCAAAAGGGTGACAAGCCTATCACCAAAAGGATGATAGTACATTCACACACGCTGTCTTGAAATCAAAATGAAGTAAGGGAACCACAACCAAAAGTATAGAGGAAAACAGACGCTAGTCATGATACCAAAAGGATGTCAGACCCATCACCAAAAAGGATGACGGAGCGGAGACGCTAGTCATGACACCAAAAGGATGCCAGGCCCATCATCAAAAGGATGATGGAGCGAAATAAGGTCAACCCTAACACCAAAAGGATGTAGGGGAATAAGCTTCTCTGAAGAGATTGCCACTTATCATTGATGACGGATAAGCTTCTCCCAAGAGATTGCCACTTATTATTGATGACGGATAAGCTTCTCCCAAGAGATTGCCACTTATCGCTGAAGATGGATAAGCTTCTCTGAAGAGATTGCCACTTATCACTAAAGATGGATAAGCTTCTCTGAAGAGATTGCCACTTATCGCTGAAGATGGATAAGCTTCTCTGAAGAGATTGCCACTTATCGCTGAAGATGGATAAGCTTCTCTGAAGAGATTGCCACTTATCGCTGAAGATGGATAAGCTTCTCTGAAGAGATTGCCACTTATCGCTGAAGATGGATAAGCTTCTCTGAAGAGATTGCCACTTATCGCTGAAGATGGATAAGCTTCTCTGAAGAGATTGCCACATATCGCTGAAGATGGATAAGCTTCTCCCAAGAGATTGCCACTTATCGTTGATGAAGGATAAGCTTCTCTAAAGAGATTGCCACTTATCGCTGAAGATGGATAAGCTTCTGCTTGAGACAAAATCACTAGGGATCGTCCATAGCACTACTGAAGATGCCCCTGTTTGGGCTAAATGTTGATTTGAAGATCTGATTAACCACGGGGTTGAAATACGTCGTGCAATACACCCATGGTCCTGAAAAGATTCCCCTGACTGGACTGGATTTTTCTTTTGGCATTCTTGAACTTCGTGGGATGACCCACGGCCTTTGCAGAAAATGCCCCTGACTGGGCTGCTGATTGCGTTGAAGCTCTTGGATTTGCCAAACAAATGTTGAACAAATTTGTGGGGAACGCCCACGATCTCGTAGAGAATGCCCCTGACTGGGCTGATGATGATCTTGGGAATCTTCAAAATTGATCCTGGGTCTGAGCTCACTCATGCGGACACTTAATGATAATGGTGTCCCATAAATGGAAATGCGAATTCAAATGCTGATGCGCGGAGATGCAAGAGCTGGGGAAAGTACGATATGATCATAGGTCTGCATATGATGCAAGATACTTATGAAGTCGAATGCGATGCGTATGATGCATATGAGGTGTATGATTGCAGGAAGGTGATCGGAAATGCAGGTGCCGACATGGCGGACTTCTAGTAGTTGCCAATGCGGATTGGACTTTGAGTGAGAGGGTGAAGGTACGACTCCCCGATACTCGTTCTGAACTCAACAATTGCTGATGAAAATGAACTTGCTTGAGTAACTTGCCCCAGTGTAGTTCAAACTTGCCCTAGTATGATCTTTGGGAAAGTTCATCTTGAAAAGACGGTAACTTGCCAAGAAATGACCTTGAGATTGCTTGCCCCAGAGTTTTTATCATGAAAGGATTTATCCTTCATCAACCGACCCTTGGTGGTTGACTTCAATACATTTTTGGATTAGCTTGCTCGTGAAAGAGCGTTGAAGCGACTTAACCTGTCCTGAATGAGCACTAGAGGGATTTGCCTTTAAATAAATTTTGGGTGGCCTGCCCCTGGTCGGTACCACGAAAGGATTCATCATTGTTTAACCGATTCTCATGGTAGTGGTCTTCGACATACTCTTGGAGTAGCTTGCCCTTGAAAGAGCGTGGAAGCGACTTAACTTGTCTTGAATGAACACTGGAGGGATTTGCCCTTAGCTCAAAGAAACTCCGGGTGGCCTGCCCCTGATTGGTATTCTCGAGATGATTCACTTCTGATTAACCGGTTCTCGAATAATTTGCTCCATAATCAACCGATGCTTTGGGGTTTTGCCTCAGACTGACTTATTCCCAATTTGCGGTATGACAGTGTCTTAGATTCATAAGGCTCCATGGTATATTCGATTCTGATCCAGATTGCTGAAGTGGTCAAGTCCTGCTTGATTGCTTCGTGTTGGCATTTCCTTGACGCCAACTACTAACTTGCAATTGACATTGTTTGTTCACGAATGGTAATCTCAATGCAAAGTTTATGCAAGTTTTGAAAGAAATGTCGTTCATTTAAGTGTCGTGATAGTGAAAACGAATGGATCGTTTAGTCCAAGCGTTGTGTTGAATTGATTGGTGTGAAAGATATAGCAGGGATAATGACACCAATGCTGATGATTAGCAAATATGTGAGGAGTCAGTTTACGCAACCTCGCAATAGCATGCTTTCAGAATAAACCTCGCCTCAATTAGGTCTTTCGAGGGTTGTAACGTGGTCTGGTTCACGGCTATTGAAACAAGGATATTAGGCTCAAAGAATTATTTGTACCCACCCCTTCTTCGTAATGATCTCCATATCTAAGTTCAGTTAATTCTACATCTGCTTAACGGTGTGAGCTTCATGGTTCAAGGTTTGCTCGAGATGGCAGTCACTTTATTTTGATGGATGTTAGTAGCCTCTCGATCTGGGTGGCCACTGAATCTTATTTTGTTTTTGTTGAGGGTTTGAGGACCTCTTTTCCTTTTGTTCTTGATCCCTAATTTTTGCATGGACTGATTTTTCGTGTCAGATCCATCAGGATTGCCTTAATTTTTGCCTAAGTCCCCTTTTGAGGTGTTGGACTTGTTGTACCCCAAAATTTGCCCTACCTTTTCTCCATTTGGTTTATGTTTCATTTCATTGCATTAGCATATCACATTGCATGAGCATACCCAAAATTGTCCTACTTGTATGCATTTCTCATTTATACATCCTTCCATTCCTCATAGTCAGAAAATTCAAATGCTTTATGGTGGAGAATTACATGGAATCTTGTTCTTTTCAATTAAGGCATATTCATGCTCATTGGATTCAAGTGATAAAGTTCATTTGATTCATCAGCAGAACAGGTTTTAATTCAGTCAAAGGCACAAAATTGATTTGTGATTGGTTTTAAGACCTCTTTCCTAAGTGAGAATCCAAAATGGTGGAATTCGGTTCATGAGACTTCTTGGAGTCTAAATTCAAGGGCATGAATAGCCAACCAAGGCCCATTTATAACTTCAAGATTCCATACATTTAGCATACATTACACAAAGATTAAGCAAGAAGGACATTAGTTTTATTTTACAAGTCATGAAGCAAAATACCACAAGCAGAGGACAATGTCGAAAGTGACAAGGCTATTATGTGAACAATGTTACATCAATAATTCTACAATATATTGCACATTAAAGGGGTTCAAAAACTACAAGAGGAATCTGTCAGTTTAAATAAATTCCCACTGTTTTTTACACTTGATGATTGATCCTGGTTTTCCTGAGAAATGGCATTCGCGTGAAGCTAGATTTCGAAGGGGCTTGGCTCTTTTGGTAATGAAGGATGGCACTGCATTAAGGTGACTATGTTTGTGTTGATCCTAATGTTGAACGGGAATACCTGAAAAAATCAATATACACATCAGTACACAATATAATGCAACCATGGCCACATTGCAAACTCACACGGTTCCAGCGCAAACTTACAAGAAAGAGCATACAGCCAGCAACGGAGGCCTCATGAGTCCCGTATGATATCAAAGCCGCGATTTGCACACGAAAAATCGTAATACCGTTTTGGGCACAGGGAGCAAAAGAGTAAGAAACGAAAACAGATGGAAAATACAGCAGCATGACAATTGAAATGGTGGTAAGAGTACATACTGCGTGATTCGCCGCATACATCCGGTATTCACAACGCACGACACCGGAAAATAACATATGGCTTTCCTTCTGTTTCTAGGAGCGAGTTCAGACCTGCAGGTGAAAACCAATCACGGTTCATTAACAGTCACATGATAACTTTGTTTTAAAGTTGTTATATACTTGCAAACAGTCCCACATCATCGGCGGTGCAAAAAGAATACACATGATTCCGATGCTAGCAATAAATGATTACATTGGGCTTCAACCATTTCAACGATCTAACCATTGTCCTTTGTCGTAAACAAATTTTCCTGCGGAAGGAACAACTGCAACGAACCTGCAACAACACCATTGGTGATTTGAACCGGTACCAATACAATAGAAAGAAAAATAGTCCAAAAAAAATGAAGCTCAACTTAGAGAGAGCATTAACACTCCTTCTGAGTGTTGCTGTTTCTGTCTTCCACATTACTTCAGCTGAAGATCCAGATAAATTCTTCAACTGGAATGTTACTTATGGTGACATTTACCCACTCGGAGTTCGTCAAAGAGGTATATTGATCAACGGATAATTCCCTGGTCCAGACATTCATTCTGTTACAAGCAACAACATCATTCGCCAGCAGCACCTGTACATCACATCGGTATTCTCAAATATCAGTACGGTCGCGGCGGCAGTTGTCCCTGCATAATGTCAAGTTAAATCAAGTTCAATGCAACCAAGGCTCAAATTATACAATAACATTCATGGTTTTGTGTTGAGTTTAACCTGCAGAATTAACCCCAACCAAAAGCTTGCTGCCTAAGCTTGAAACTTACTGTTGAAAAATGGAAGATGCAAAATAACCATGAAGCAAGAAGCCAACCATACGACTCTAAAAGCCCATCTTGATCATGGAAAGAAGCTTCCTATACCTGATGGAATCCTCATCAATGGTCGCGGCCCTAACAGATTGTCTTTCAACGTCGAGCAAGGAAAGACTTACAGGCTTAGGATATCGAATGTGGGGTTACAACATTCCCTTAACTTCAGAATTCAGAATCACAAAATGAAGTTGGTAGAAGTTGAAGGGACACACACTCTTCAAACTACATACTCCTCCCTTGATGTTCACGTTGGTCAATCATACTCAGTTCTAGTTACCGCAGATCAACCGGGTCAAGACTATTACATTGTTGTTTCCTCTCGGTTTACTTCTCCGGTGCTAACCTCGACCGGAGTTCTTCGCTATAGCAACTCTGCAGGTGCAGTTTCAGGTCCACCTCCTGGCGGGCCTACAATCCAAATTGACTGGTCCTTGAACCAGGCCCGCTCCATCCGGACAAACTTGACAGCAAGTGGACCAAGACCAAATCCGCAAGGATCATACCATTACGGCATGATAAACACAACGAGAACAATCGTACTTTCAAGTTCAGCTGGACAAGTGAATGGAAAACAAAGATACGCGATCAACAGCGTGTCTTATGTTTCCCCTGACACTCCTCTTAAGCTAGCTGACTTCTTCAAGATATCAGGTGTTTACCGTCCGGGAAGCATCTCTGATAGACCAACCGGCGGTGGTATATACACCGACACTTCTGTTATGCAAACTGACTACAGATCATATGTAGAGATTGTTTTCCAAAACGACGAAGACATTCTTCAGAGCTATCATCTTGATGGCTGCTCTTTCTTTGTGGTTGGTATGGATGGAGGACAGTAGACAACTTCTGCACAACCGTACCGACAATACCCTGCTGCAAACCTGTTACACACAACAGCCTGCAAAACAAAGCAGCCAGCCCACACACACAGCCTGCTGCACCAAAGCCCACTCCAGACAAAGCTCTGTCACAACCAGCCAAAACTCTGCTACACTACCCTGCTACACAAAGACAAATAACACAGCCAACAGACTCAAAAAAAGAAGGAGCTCATTCATCTCTCTTAACTCTTAAAAACTCTTCACATATTCCTCACCTTCGACTTCTTGATAAAAACCTTAACTTCTCAAAAACAAAAGGGGATAAAAAAACTAACTGTTATCATCTTTCTTGATCCATCTCCCATTCACCTTCATCCCTTGACCGTTAAACCTCTTCACCCCAAAACTTCACTATTTTTTTTCCTCCCTCGAAAATCATCTTCTGAAACCGGAAGCCAATCTCCTTCAACCATTAACAGCTCTCAACAGCCCTTCCAAACAACCCCTAAAACATTCACGACTCCATCCTCAAAACCAGACAAAGTCCATATTTCTCTGCTTCAACCATTCTCATACGCCCTTTTTGGTTCACCCAACCTCAAGCATTAAACCCCTTTTCCAGATTTCTTCCAGATCCAACAACTCAAAACATTCCCAACCTCCAAATCTCAGCCCAGGAAACCGTTAACATCCGTCGTATCATCTCGCAAAACTCTGAATCCCATCCTCAAACCTCTTTCAACTTTCATCTTCCTCAACAGCTGAGTCAACCCACGACATAGACCATCAACCCTGTTACGCAAAATTTATAAAACAGAACGAAACCAGCATCAAGCCCATTCCGTCGAAACCCTCATCGTCTTCCTTCAACAATTATCACTACCATCTCTTCACTCAAATCTCGAACTGAAGTCCATTATTACCTCAGAACAACTTTCAACCCACATTCCTTTCTTCAACCCACCAATCCTCAACCTAAAGCCCTTAAAATAACCAAAACCGAAGAGAAAGATTGAAAGTTTGAGCGAACCAAATCGAAAATCAAACACAAACCTATTAGAAAATCTTGAGGTGAGAGGCGGAGGGAGAAATAGAGCGAAGGATCGAGAGAAGTAGACTCGCGGAGGTGAGTTTGATTTCGCCGTCTTTCTGCCGATTCTTTATTCTTGAAGCGCGAGGACGTTCGTGACATTCTGAGCGCAGGGTTTTCTTCTTCTTTTCATTTCCTTGGCTGGATCACTTTTTTTAAAAGTTGACAAATTCTGGTGGTAGCTGGGATAGGGATCATTGTTTTCTGTTGTGTTATTTATTTATTATTATTATTCAATTTAACACAAAAAACTGATTTGTCTGGGGGAGTCGCTTCATGACGGTTGGGTTAAGCCCATTTCAAGGTTGTTATCACACACAACCAGTTGTGAATACCCAACCGTGTGATTTAAGTGATGAATAGATGATGGGCTTTTTGAGAAGCCCTATGATTCTACACCCGTGTTGTTTTTTTTACCTCTGTTTTTAATAAGGATGTAAATATCTTGGTTCCTTTTTATAAAAAGAACATATCTTCAAATTGTTAATATTTTATTTTAAGGTTTAGTGTTTTTAATAATTAAGTATTTTACTCTAGAGTTTTATAGGTGGTTTTAATAAGAGTTAAATTTTAACTTTTCTTGTTTGAAGATTTATTTTCATATTTCTTCACTTTTAGGGTCGATGACGACACTTCCGTAATCCATTACCAGTCAAATTATTGATGAATAATGTTGGATCTGAGACCACCTTTTTTCTCTCCTCGTTTCTTGTCCCGATTCGATTCATTGACGCTATCAAACCATCTTCAATAAAGGAATCGAGTTATATTCGTTTTGAATTGAAAAAAGAGGATTAAGTGTAGACTTTCTCCCTCTCCGAGTGTCGAGATGCTCACTGTAGTGTGGGTGGTTTTGACACTCGTCTTTCAATGCGAAGACGCTCGTATTCTTCGCACTCCTCCATATCCTTCTCTCCTAAAACCTCGGTCTCGTGCCGAGTCCATTTTCAAACCATAATGAACTAATTTCTCTTTGTATTGAATTAAAAAGAGAGGATTAGGTGTAGACCTCTTCCTCTCCGAATGTTGGGATGCCCACTGTAGTGAGGGTGGTCTTGATATTCGTCTTTCAATACGAAGACGCGACTTTATCCACCATCTCGCTTTCACAACTTCCTTCCACAATTTTCACACCTAAAACCTCGGTCCTGTACCGAGTGCATTTTCAAATCTTTTCATAATAAAAACTTGAATGGTCGTGGAGTGGTTAGGCGTAGGCCTTCTCCTATCCCGAGTGCTGACGTTTACCGTAGGGTTCTCTGTCGCAAAGCACTTACCATTCAAAACCAAAAACATCTTTAATAAGAGAACGAAGTTCTCTTTGCATTGAATTAAAGAGAGAGGATTGGGTGTAGACCTCTTCTTCTCCGAGCGTAGGGATGCCCACTGTAGTGAGGGTGGTTTCGACGCTCGTCTTTCAATATGAAGACGCCTCGTTCGCCACACCCTTTTATAACAAAAACTCTGAGATAAAGAATTGGGTACTACCCGTAGGGGTTGCTATCCGAGGACATGTCTCGCCCCCTTAAAAACAATCCAATCAATCAAACGTGACTTCTTGCCCCGCGCGGCGAAAACTAATCAATTTTTCAAAAGGATATGTTACGTCCGTTCTACCGCAAACAGGTAACGCCTAAGTATCCAACGAGCAAGCAGCAATGCACCTAACTGCTAGAATGCGCACGATAGCGTCATCCATAAAAAACATCAACACACCGTAGGCCGAACTACGGCTGCTCTGATTTCTCATACCAGATGAGAATACGTAGGCACAAGGGCCACAATCCTTGGCGAGCATATTCCCCCTATATCCGTATTCCCGAACTACGTCGACTCTGACTTTCTCACATCTATTGAGAATACGTAGGCATAGGACTGCGAAATCCTATCGAGTCTGTTCTTTCTCTTTTCTTCCCTGTTATCCCTCCTTTCTTTATTTCTAAACCCATTTTCTTTACCCTTCGGAAAACACTTTTATAGCATAATATTTAAGCAGATAAAATCACACATCGACAAACAAAAGGTTCCCATCGAGTACGATGGATGCGAGGGGTGCTAATACCTTCCTCTCGCATAACCGGCTTCCGAACCCGTTCTTGGTCGCGAGACCATCTTATCCATTTCTTTCTTAAGGTTTTCTCGATATTTTCCTTTCCCCTCATGGGATAAATAAATTTCGGTGGCGACTCTTCTGTCCTATCTTTTTCGCCTCCCCGTCGTTGCGCGATGCATTTTTCGAGTAGCGACAGCTGGCGACTCTGCTGGGGAAGGAAATTAACTCCGAGCAAGCCACACCTATTTTGTTTGTCGCATTTGTGCTTTATTTGTTTTACTATTTGTTTTATGGTTATGTTTCTTTCTAACTTGTTGGGTTCATTTGGTTTGGTTTGTGAGGATAAAGCTTTCTACCCGAGCTTTCGAGCATACACACTAAGTTAGGAGGTGGATTCTTTCTGATTTGCGAGACTTAGGACTCGTTGAGTTGGATCGAATCTCACCACTCAGATGAGACTCCGTTGGAATAATTATGTCTTACGTGTAGTCGTAGTGGCATTCTTATCTTCAACTTGAGAGTCCGCGATTCTGAGGACCTTTTGTAGAACCTTTATTCCGAAGGTTGCTAAAACATAACTCTGTGTTCATCCTTTTGAAGGGATTACCGTCTTACGAGTAGTCGTTATGATGGGAAACTTTTGAGGGTTAGTACATGGGACTTTGTTTGAAAAGCCTTTGGAATACCCTCTTAAACCAATAGATTGCTCACCCGAGGTGAGAGGTATCTCGTTGTGCTGTC